TGCTGGTTCTGGTGGTACCACAGCCGCCCCCTCACTACCACTACTTCCGGCTGGTGCTTGATATTTTGGTTGTTGAGCAATTTCCTCCGGCTGAGTCTGGTATTTCGGCTCGGGAGCAGGTTGTTCCGGAACCTGTACGCCTGCCCCACCGCTCGTGCTGCTAGCTCCTGTTGCTGCTGAAGCTTCCTGACTTTCATAACTTCCTTGCTGGGAAGACTGTTGGCTCTCCTGGTAAGTCTGTATTTGCGGTTGAGGCTGTGGCGCTGCTGCTCCTTGTGATGCTTGTGACGCTGCCGCGGCAGGTTGTGCGGGATATATTGGAGCAGGTTGAGCTATTGCATTTTCCTGATAATTACTCGATGCACCTCCGGCGGCACCGGTTTCTTGATAACTGGTCGACACGGTTCCGGATGGAGCAGGCCCCGCAGCGCCCGTTTCCTGATAACTGACTGAGCCAGCTCCGCTTGGAGCTGCTCCCCCCACTGCACCTGTTTCCTGATAGCTGCCTGAGCCGGCTCCGGATGGAGCTACTCCTGCGGCGGCGCCTGTTTCCTGATAACTGCCTGGGCCGGCTCCAGCTCCGGCAGCAGCATTGCTTTCCTGATAGCTGCTTGGTCCGGCTCCAGCAGCACCACCCTTCTGCTCCAGTGTGCCGATGCTAGCTTCGCTGTTTCCGGGAGCTGCACCGCCGGTCGCTTTTGACTCATGATCGCTGATTATTTCTTCATAAGCATTATCCACGGGCTGTTGGTGGTACGGTGCGCTCGTTTCACTGCCTCCTGCAAATTGTACGCAAAATTTTGTACAGGAAAAGGTTCACATAAAAACAATTACATGCTCGTATCAGGCAATTATCAGTTCCACTAAGTATGCGCCAATTTCACTTCCACCACACGCATACTCTGTCGTAACTTGAATTTTTTGAGGAAGATGCGTTTAGAAAATTTTAGCAGCATGTAGCTTTTTTTGTAACTTACTGCTGAACTACTCAAAAAACACCTCCCGATTTATTTCATTTTTTAAGGCTAACAGAATCGAAAAATGAGCTGTATTTGAGGTCGAAAGGTACATCGATAAGTAAAAACATTTTTTTTTGACTTAGCTCCAGCACTGTTATAAACAAGCCAGCATTTGAGCAAACAGAAAGCTTTCAACTCAAACAACTTCAGAGAAGGAATCTTGAAGTATGAACATGTACCACAATTGTAAACTAATCCAGGCTGAAACGCACCAGGCTCTCCGGTGCGATCATGCGTTTTTGCACTAAATTCGCAGGTCGCTATTAGCAGGAATGATCCCTACGCTGTAGCCTAACACTTTGGCTAATACTGTCCGTGCTTTGAGCCTTTCTGGCGTGCAGGAAAAAGGGCATCAGTTGGGATGAAGGTGATGCATTATGAAGCCGCACGGCCATTAAGGTGTATGATTACCGGTTTTTTGCATGAAGTCTGGTCGTTTTTTCGATAAATGCTCGCTTTGTGAAAAAATAACAAATGCAAATTTTTTGAAAAAATGCAAATTTCCAGTTCGCTAAAAAGTGGAAGTATTGCTCGAG